AAGACACACAAGCCTGGCATCCCACTATGGCCTATCACTTCGGGCATAGGGAGTGCACCACACAGACTAGCCGGCCACCTTGCCAATGCCTCTCAGCGCTTCTGGGCACCATCAGTCACGTCCACCTCAAACACTCGGGTGACCTTCTCTCCCGAATTTCCAATCTGAATGTTAAAAACAAAAGCATGGCTTCCTTCGCTGTCACAGCCCTCTTTACCAATGTTCCTACTGATGCTGCCATAAACATTCTGAGACAGAAGCTCACTGAAAACCATGACTTCCCTTTACCTCTTCTAGATTTCATCAGTCTAGTGGATCTTTGTGGTAATTTCAACTTCTTCAAGTATCAGGACAACTGTTACAAACAATGCTTTGGGATGGCAATGGGCAGCCTGCTCAGTGCTGTGCTTGCCAACGTCTTCGTAGAAAACCTAGAGACAGAGAAATTCAGCACCCTCTTTCCCAGCACTGTTACCTGGCTAAGATATGTTGATGATATATTGGTTTTCTATCCGAGATGTCTCAATATCCAGGCCCTTCTCAACAAGATCAATGCAGCCGAATCATGAATAAAGTTTACACTTGAACTTGAAAATGATGGCAAACTTCCTTTCCTCGACGTTCTCCTGTGCAGATCTCCCGACATTAACAAACTTCTCTTCAAAGTGTATAGAAAACCTACCAACAAGGACAATCTTATACACTTTTATTCACACAAAGACACCCACACTAAAAGAGGAGTCCTCATTGGCTTCTTCTTGAGAGCTCTTCGCATCTCCAGCCCTTGTTTTCTTGAAGAAGAATGTATTTACATAACACAAGCCTTTACACATCTTCAGTTTCCATCTTTCTTTATCTGAGATTGCAGACTCAAGGCACAAGCTGTCCTCAACAAACAGCCCATGGAACAGCCCTCTAAGCGGTTCATAGTGCACCCATGTGGTGATGTTGCCACAAATACTCACCGGGCACTTGCTATGAGTAACATCAATGTTTCCACCATAAACACATCTTCTATCAAAGACCTCTCTACGAAACGCAGCCCCACACCTCTAACTTCTACAGCAGGCATCTACACCATCCCCTGTGGATTCTGTCCCAAGAAATATGTAGGTGAGACAGGCAGAGATCTTGCGGTCCGCCTGAACGAGCATTGAAGTGCCTGTAACAGAGACGATTTAAGGTATGCCTGTGTCCTCCACAGAGACTCCACGGGGCATTTGATGAACTGGAATGAGGCACAACTCGTTCTCACCGAACCAGACCTCAGACGCCAATGGTGCCTAGAAGCCTCACTAATTGCCATCACTGACACAATACAGTGGACCCCTGGTATTTGATGGCATCGGTATTTGATAAATCCGGTTTTCGATGCATTTTAACGCAAAAATTTTTCCTCGGTATTCGATTGAAAACCCGGTATTCGATATGATTCGTACGAGACCTGTCCACATGTGGCCTGAACTGCTCTGTGTGTGCTAGTGTTTACAAGCCAACCAGTGTGCGCGCATCTAAGGATACATTCGATACATTCCATATTATCCATATTATCACTGTGTTTGGTGCTTGTTTCTGCAAAATAAGTCACCATGGGCCCCAAGAAAGCTTCTAGTGCCAACCCTTCGAGAAAAAAGTCACTAATGACTCATGAAATGAAGAAAGAGATAATTGCAAAGTACGAAAGTGGAGTGCGTGTGTCGGAGCTGGTCAGGTTGTTTAATAAACCCCAATCAACCATCTCTACTATAGTGACCAGGAAAACAGCAATCAAGGAAGCTGTTCTTGCAAAAGGCGCAACTGTGATTACGAAACAGCAACCGCAAGTGTTAGAAAATGTTGAGAGATTGTTACTGGTGTGGATAAATGAAAAACAGATAGCAGGAGATAGCATCTCTCAGTGATCATTTGTGAAAAGGCTAGGCAGTTGCATGACGATTTGGTAAAGAAATTGCCTGCAACTAGTGGTGATGTGAGTGAATTTAAGGCCAGCAAAGGTTGGTTTGAAAGATTTAAGAATCGTAGTGGCATACATAGTGTGATTAGGCATGGTGAGGCTGCCAGTTATGTTGTGCGACAGAAGTCCAGTGACTCTCAAGCTGGTCCTAGTGGCATTAAAAGAAGAAGGGAAGTAACCCCAGAAAAGGACTTGCTACCTCAAGTCCTAATGGAAGGGGATTCCCCTTCTAAACACTAACACCTCTCCCCTCCTCCCATCCCATCAATCATCACCAGATCTTCATTAAAGGTAAGTGTCAATTATTTTATTGTTATTGTAATTATTCTATTGCATTAAACTTAATATTTCATGTAGTAAAAATTTTTTTTTTCATACTTTTGGGTGTCTTGCACGGATTAATTTGATTTCCATTATTTCTTATGAGGAAAATTGATTCGGTTTTCGATATTATTGGTATTCGATGAGCTCTCAGGAACGGATTAATATTGAATACCGGGGGTCCACTGTAGAACATAACACTGGAAACCACAAAATTTCGAAAACATTAGCATACGTGATACTTAACCCTTTCAGGGTCCAAGGCCCAAATCTGGAGTCACGCACCAGTGTCCAAGAATTTTCAAAAAAAAAATTTGTTATTTTTTCTTATGAAATCGTAGAGAATCTTTTTGTGAAGGTAATAAAACAAAAAGTACGAAATTTGGTGGAAAATTGACGAAATTATGCTCTCGCGAATTTTGATGTGTCAGCGATATTTACGAATCGGCGATTTTGCCGACTTTGACTCCCATTTTAGGCCAATTACATTATTCCAATCAACCAAATTCTTAGCTATTTCACTAGTATTACTTCTATTCTATCGATTGAGCACAAGAAATCGCCAAGTCAACTGTTTCAACTACAAAGTAAAGTGATCGGAAATTGTTAATTTGGCCAATTTAACACAAAGTTCAAAATATTCCAATTTCAAAATAGGGTCCAGAATGAACAATGTAGGCATTCCTGGCACTAAACTAACATTTCCTCTGTTCATTAGTTATGTTTTGAGGCTTTACAAATAAATTCCATTTTGATTTTTTATTCACATAATGAATTTTTATTCACACCAAAAAATAGAAGATTTACTGTTATGCAATACTGTAATAATTGTATAAATATCATCACCATATTTGTGAATGTATATTAGACCCACCAGCTGACGTGTATTAGACGTGTGAGGTCGTTTGTTTACTCTTGAATATCGGCAAAAATTTAACATTTCTGCTACTTTGAGCTCAGTTTCAAGCCATTTCCAGTGCTAAAACCAATCAAAATCATCTCTATTTCTGTAATATGTCTTCCATTCTATCAAATGAGACCAAGAAATCGCAAATACAACTATAAAAAACATACGAAAAAACACTGTAAAGTTGCTGTTTTAATCGAAAAATCATGATTTCATTTTTTTTCTCTCATTATACACAGTGTGCTGCAGGATCTGTTTTATGTGGTGCACACATACCACATAGATGTATTCTCTCATATCTAGGCCCAAATGTACCACTCACAGTTTATCAGAGTGAGCTGAGCTCATGGCGTAGATCTACGGTTTGGACCCTGAACGTAAAGCCGTAGATCTACGGGACGGACCCTGAAAGGGTTAAGCAGGCTAAGCACCACCAACCCAACAACACAGGAGTCATGATCTCATCGTCTACCCATCTTCATCCCAACATGGCATTTTTCAGGTCACCATGCGCCACTCACACTTCACTCTCTGCCTATATATAATGTCTTTCTACCTCTGTGTGTTAGAAGTGATCAAGGTCCCAGGACCGAAGCATTTTCTAATAAATATGTCATAGTGTTTGCTTACGTGTCTTTCTAAACCAAAGAGGATTATTAAAGCTTATTGCTTGGGTAGCCTTTATTCTGTTAGTGGGCTGGATTTGTGAAAGATCTGCCAGATATGGGCCAACAGGCCTGCTGCGATGTTCCTCCTTTCTTATGCTCTTATGTTGTTGAGTGGAACAATCTGCCTAGTATGGTTATTGAGGCTAAAATCTTGGGTAGTTTCAAATTTGTGTTGGATAAATACGTGAGTGAGAGGAGTGGGATGTAAGTGGGACCTGCACATGAGTAAATAGAATTATCAAAGCTTATTGCTTGGGTAGCATTGAAAATTGAGTCGGGCAAATATTCTGTTAGTGGGATGGATTGTGAAGGACCTACCTAGTATGGGCCAACAGGCCGGCTGCACTGTATTATTATTATTAGTGCATATTTATTTCAATAATAATTACTATTATTATTATTATTGTTATTATTATTATTATTATTATTATTATTATTATTAATTTAGGGAAGTGTAGCACAGATCCAATTCCCTAGATCAAGAGCCCCTCACCAAGGAACCTCCCTTGAGGGAGAAGTTCACATCCTGAAATTTCGTTTGTATCCAGAAGCAAAAAATCGATCGAGTGACTTCATATCCTAAAAAATTTGCATGGTGGGGCATTCGTAAGCCGAGGCTCCACTGTTTTGTGTAAAACAATTACAGGTTTCCATTTCACACTCATTTGGCAGGATGGTAGTACCTCCTTGGGTGGTACTACCATCCTGTGACTATTACTATTAATAATAATAATAATAGTATTATTATTGTTGTTGTTGTTATTAATTGTATATGTATTATTTGTTCAATAATAATAATAACAATAATAATAATAATAATAATAATAATAATAATAATAAATAATAATAAGAATAGTAATAGTATTATTATTATTATTGTTCTCATTAATTGTATGTGTATTATTTGTTCTTACACTATCTTATTTGTTAGAGTTATTTATACTCTGTATATATTGGATCTTTGTTACTTTTTTTGGTATGCAGTAAATCATTGTAGAATTGTGGATTTTTTTTTTTTTTTTTTTGAAAGTTGATAAGGTACTGCTACAATTTTTTGCTACTAATTGAAGGATCACTTTATAACACCTCATGTTGAGGTGAAATTAATTGTCATAGCTATTAGTGTCTTGATGTCCATTCTATTTTTCAGCTATCACAATTGCACTAACAGAGTGGAGGACTAAGTATCGACGTCATATGAACCTTGCTGATAATGAACAACGATCAAGAGGTGTAGATTCTCTTCTTAATTTTGAAACTGTAAAATACTATGGTGCTGAAGATTATGAGATCAACAGATATAAACAGTCTGTATTAAACTATCAGGTCAGATATTTTTGTTTGCATTTTCATGTTGCCTTCATTACTGACTAGGCACATACACAGAGGGGCCATCACTAATCCGGCAATCAGTTATCTGGTTCCATCAGTAACCTGACACTAATTTTGCCTAGCATAATTTCATCATCATACTGACTCAGATCATTACAGACTCAAATTTCATTATTATACTGACTCAGAAATTGTGCAGATGGTTGTAAATCCCCAGCAACAAGCTAGTGGAGGAGAAAGCAGTGATGAAAATGAGGAAGATGTAGCAGAAAGTGTTGATAGGTTAATTAAGTGTATTCTAACCTAACCACTCTGTAATCCAGCAAACTCATTAATCCAGCACACTACAAGTCCCAATGATGCCGGATTAGTGATGGCTGACCTGTACAGTTTTCTTTCTGTATTTTAGCTAATGTTCTTACAGATGCCACAGTATTTACAGAAACACAAATTGCAGGAGAGTGACAGATATGCCTGACTGCTGTTTAATGGTAGCTAGAGTAAGAAAATGATAAATTATAAGCAGACTGCTGTCAGTTAGTAAAACATAAGAAAGAGTGCAAGAATTCGATAACAGAACGTTACTGTGAGATATTAACACTTGTTGGGAAAAAACTTGGTAAACATTAGAGAAAAGGTGATAAGGAGGATGTCAAAATCATGTAGTGCAGATTTAAGGCTGTAATGTCAGCTCTCTGAATAATACTTTTAGTAATCCCACACCTCCTTATAATTGCCAAACTATGAATTCTCTGCATAATTTTTACACCACACATTGCCCTCAGACACGACATTTACACTCCCTCTAGCCTCTTGCCTTGCTGCAACATTCATAACCTATGCTTCACACCCATGTAAAAATGTTGGTACCACTATTCTCTCATACATTACCCTTTTTGCTTCTGTGGATAATGTTCTTTGTCTCCACAGATGTCTCAGTGCACCACCCAAATATATGAACACATTCACTTTCTCCATACTCCTCCTTCCAATCTGATATCCAATCTTTTATTACCTAAATTTTTTTGATAACCTCATCATCTTGCTCTTTCTTATACAGTGGACCCCCGCCTAACGATATTATTTCAATCCAGAAGTCTGTTTGGGTGCTGTTATAGACCGAATTTGTTCCCATAAGAAATATTGTGAATTAGATTAGTCCGTTTCAGACCCCCAAAAATACACCTACAAGACCCTTCAAAAATACCTTACGTAATTGGCGATTGGACAGATCGTTGGCGGGGCTCCACTGATTTACTTAAGGTTTCCTTTTTTTTACACACCCTCCAGTGTCCCAAAAACTTTGCAACTTCTTTTCATATCCCCAAAAGCACAGGGTCAATGGAAAAAAAGCAATTCTGACAAATCTCACTTTTATTGGGTTTCAATACTTTTTAAACCCGGGCCTGCCAAGTAAAGTAAAACAAAAGCCTGAATTGTTTTACATGATGTAGGATTGCGGTGCCCTTTTTTTCTGTCTCAAAACAGCAAGGTTCAGGTAGTCTTGCATTTCTATTTAACCTTAGTCCACACCATACATGTTAAAAGCATTTAAATACACCCCCCGGGGGGTTTTCTTCTTTTTTTCTTACTAGTTTTTGTTTTTGTTTTTCCTCTTCCTCCTTTGGGGGGGAAAGGGGAACAAAATTTTTTCCTCAGAAAGCCATGCGTGTTTAAGAGGCGACTAAATCCCCGGGAGAAAGGGGGAGAACCCTTTCCTTTATATATTCTAAATGTAAAAGAAAATTTTCGTTTTTCCTTTTGGCCACCCCTCCTCGTGGGAAACAGCCGGTTTTGAAAGAAAGGAGGGGTTGCTGGTTTTTTTTTTTTTCTGCTAAAAACATGCAAATTTCGGGTACATCTTGCACTTCTACTTACACTTGGTCCCCCTACCATACATGTACAACATTTATATAATACCCTCTGGGTTTTTCCTTTATTTTTTTCAGTTTTTTGTTTATTTCCTCTTTCCCCAGGGAAGGGGAACAAAATTCTCCCTCCGTAAGCCAGCATGTGTAAGAGGCGACAAAAATGCCGGGAGCAAGGGGTTAGAACCCCTTTCCGTATTATTTTTAAAATTTTAAAAAGGAAAACTTTCTTTTTTCCCTTTTTGTGCCACCCTATCTCAGGGTACAGCTGGTACATTGAAAGAACTTTTTTAATCCCTCCCTCTCCCTAACACACTAGATTTCTTCTTTTTAAAATCCCACTATAAATAGTTAAACAACCATGGTACATAAAACCCATCCCTTCTAAATCCATTTTTATGGAAAAAATCCCCTTTTACAACCTAACCTACCCTCACGCCCCCATTAAAACCCTTTTTAACTGCTTTCAAACCTACCACTTCCAAATTTTTCCCAACATCGTCACATTTTTTTCCCTCCCCCAAAGCAGATTTGCTGATGACAAAAAAAAGGGCCACCCCAATTCTTCTAATGAGGACATTAGAACACTCCACGATGTTTTTGAATAGCTGATCAAAAGCGGGAAGTGGCAGATAAAATAAAAATAAAAAAATCAAATTCTGAAAATGTTGGACAGGAAAAAACCAGCCAAAAACAAACTAATAAGTAGTCAAAAATACATTGCAAAAAGGAATAAAATTTTGTTGTTAACAAAAACCATGACAACATCTAATTTTTTTGGCAAAAAACAAACAGAACCCCTTTTCAACAAAATAAAAAATAAGCCCGGTTGTTCTTCAACACATTATTTTTTCCTCATTTTTCCCCCACATTTTCGGGCCGTTTAACGAAAAATAAAATACCTGAAAAGACAAATACCCCCCTTTATCAAAAAAATTTTTCTCAATCCCTAGGGGCCCATCTCACCCAAAAAGGCAAAATTTGGGGGGAATAAAGGGAAAAATTGAGTAATTAGAGAGTTAGAGAAAAGGAAGGGGGTAGCAGAATTTTAAATGATCTTTTAGGGAAGGGAAAAAAAGAGAATAGAATTTTAAATTCAAAATTTTTGGGATTAAAGAAAGGGTTGGAGCGAGAAGTGGTCAAATAAGCGTGATGCCCCGGGAAAAGAGGGGGAAGCAGGGAGGAGGGGAAAATTTGGGAGATTTTTAAGTAATGATGGGAGCCTTTAAACCCAAGGAGAGATAATTGTGGTAGGGGACTTAAATGCTAAAGTGGGAGAAACTTTTGGAGGGTGGGTAGGTAAGTTTGGGGTGCCAGGTGAAAATGATAATGGGACCCTTTTTGTTTGATTGTATGAAAGGGGTTTTTTTTATAGGTAAAACCCATATTTTAAAAAAAAGAGGATAAATAATATACACGAAGATGAGGGCGAAATGACAGTATTTTTTGTTGGATTATTATTGGTAATAAAAGATGTTGAGTAGTTTCAGGAGTACAGTTTAAGAGGGGCCCCGATATATAGACACTTTCTATTTGTAGCTCACTGAGGTAAAGGTAGGGGGGTAAAGGAGAATAGAAATCGGGAAAGAGAGGTGAAGGTTTAAAACTAAAAGAGGAGGCGTTAGGGTAAGATATAAACACTATTGGGGATAGATGGGCAATGAAGCATGGAATGGGGTCGAAAAGGTATTGGGGTGGTTTAAAAATGTGTGTTGGGGTTCCAAAGGGTTTTTGGGTTACGGAAGTGGGTGGAGGGGAAAGGAGCGATTGGTAATGATATGTAAAGAGATAGTAAGGGAGAAAAAAATTGCATATGAGAAGTTTTTACAAAGTAGAATGATGCAAGGGGGAAAGTATATGGAGAAAAAGAGAGAAGTTAAGGAGTGGTAAGCAATGTAAAAAAGACAAAGAAGGGGGGTGAGTTTTCCAAAAAATTTTGTTGAAAATAAGAAAAAATTTTGGGTGAATTAACAAATTAAAAAGCCAAAAAGAAACAAATGGGTTTGTCAGTTTAAAAAAAGGAGAGGAGAGTTATTAAATGGAGAGTTAGGGTTTGGGGAAATGGAAGGGAAAATTTTGAGGAATTGTTAAAGTTTATGAAGATAGGAACGTGATTTCGTGTATGGGAAGGGGGAATAACATCTTTTAGGAGTGAGGGAAAAGCCAGTTTTGAGTGTGGGGGAAATCGTGAGGCATAGGTAAAATGAAAGGGGGTAAGGCGCCGGAATTGATGGGATAAAGATAGAAATGTTAAAACAGGTGGGGATTAAAATTTTGGGAGTGGTTGGTGCAATTAATTAATAAATTATGGGAAGAAGGAAGGGACCTAGGGGTTGGCGAGAGCATGCATAGTTCCTTTGTATAAAGGCAAAGGGGATAAAAGAGAGTGCAAAAATTATAGGGGGGTAAGTCTGTTGAGTTACTGGAAAGTGTATGGTAGAGTTATAATTAAAAAATAAGGTTGACGGGAATAGGATACAGTAACAAGGAGGCTTTTGAAAAGGGAGGGGGTGGTGGGGCCAGGTGTTTACAGTGAAACATATAATGAACGTATTTAGATAAGGCTAAAAAGGTCTTTTTTGGCATTTATGGATTTGGAAAAGGCTATGACAGGGGGGAAGGGGGGGAATGTGGCAGATGTTGAAGTGTAGGTGTAGGAGGGTTTTACTGAAAGCATGAAGGTTTTTTACGAGGAAAAGGGGGCTCAAGTTAGAGTATGTAGGAAAGAGGGGAAATTTTTTTCCCGTAAAAGTAGGCTTGACAAGGATGGGATGTCACCCCTGGTTGTTTAATATATTTATGATGGGGTTGTAAGAGAATAAATGCGAGGGTCTTGGCAAGAGGCGTGGAGTTTAAAAGAAAAGAATCACACACAAAATGGAGTTTCACATGCCTTTGTGATGACACTGTGCTCTTGGGGATTCTGAAGAGAAGTTGCAGAGATTTGGTGGATGAATTTGGTAGGGTTGCAAAAGAAAAAAATAAAGGGGAATACAGGAAAGAGTAAGGTTATGAGGATAAAAAAAAGATTAGGTGATTTAAAGATTAATATCAGATTGGAGGGAGAGAATGGAGGGGTGAACGTATTCAGATATTTGGGAGTGGACGTGTCAGGATGGGTCTATGAAAAGATGAGGTGAAACATAGATTTTATGAGGGGAAAAAAAGGAGTGGTGCACTAGGATTGGGAACAAAGAAATTTTTCCTTGGGGGCAAAGAGGGGAATGTATAAGGGGATATTTTACCAACCTTTATATGGGTGTGAAGCGGGGTGATGAATTTGCAGCGAGGAGAAGGCCGGGGCATGGAATTCATTCTGGGGCAATGTGTGGGTGAATATAAAGCAGGAATTCGTAGTTTTGGAAATTAGAGGAGGGGCGGGATTTCCAAACTGTTGTCCAGGGGCTAGGAAGGGTTGTTGAGGTGGTTCGACATGTAGGAGAAAGGAGGAAACAGAATGACTTCAAGAGTGTAACAGTCTGTAGTGAAGGAAGGCGGGGTAGGGGTCGGCCTAAAAGGGGTTTGGGGGGAGGGGGTAAAGGGGTTTTGTGTCGAGGGGCTTGGACTTCCAGCAGGCATGCGTGAGCGTGTTTGAAGGGGTGAAGGAGACAAATGGTTTTTAATACTTGACGGCTGTTGGGGTGTGAGCAAAGTAACATTTATAAGGGATTCAGGAAAGAGGGCCGGGCTTGAGTCCGGAGATGGAAGTACAGTGCCTGCACTCTGAAGGAGGGGTTTAATGTTGCAGTTTAAAAACTGTAGTGTAAAGCACCTTTTGGGAAGAAGTGATGGAGTAATGATGGTGAATTTTTTTTTTTCGGGCCACCCGCCCTTTGGGGGGAATCGGCCGGTGTGGTAATAAAAAAATAATAAAATAATAATAAAAAGATTGAGGTGTATAAATGGAAAAAAGGAAAAATAAAGGGGGGTGATATAGCATCAAAAATATCAGCAAACAGTGCCTTAAGTTGGAAAAATTCAGATTCAGGGGAAAGGATATAGGGGAAAACACTGGTTTGGTAAAGGTTTGGATGGTGGAACAAACTCCCGAGTACTCATGACGTAAACTTGGTGTTTTAAAAATAGGTTAGATAAAATATGAGTGGGTGAGGGATGTTGAGTTGGACTTGACAGCTTGTGTCTAAGTCATATGCTGTGCTCCTTCCTTAAGTGAATGTGACCTGACCTGACTAGGTTAGGGTGTTGGCTTAAGCGGTAGGAGAATTTTACCTGCCTTGCATGGGCCAGTAGGCCTGTTGCAGTGTTCCTTCTTTCTTATGTTCTATCTTATGCTTTTTCTAAATCCATAAATGCAAAGAAAACTTCCTTATTTTTATCTAAATATTGTTTACTTATATGCATCATTGTGAACACTTGGTCTACACATCCCTACCCTTCCTAAAACCTTGTTTATCTGCGATCCTGCTCTCTGTCTTGCCTTCATTTCTTTCAATAATAACTCTACCATGCACTTTCCCTGGTATAATCAGCAGGCTTCTTTCCCTGTAATTCTTACATTCTCTTTTATCCCCCTTTTCCTTTATACACCAGAACTGTGTATGCTCTTTTACCAATCCCAAGGTACCTTCCCCCTTTTATACATTTATTGAATAAATGCACCAACCACTCTAGAAGTATATTCTCACCTGTTTTTTATCATTTTTGTCCATATTACAACAGTCCCAGCTGCTTTACCACCTTTCATTCTACCCATTGCTCTTTGCACCTCCTTCACATTCACATCCTGCTCTTCCTCACTCCTAAAAGATGTTAGCATCACTGCTCAAGGCATGAAATCACTGCCTCCCTCTCTCTTCATCAGCATTTAACAGCTCCTCAAAATATTCTCCATCTTCCCAATACTTCCATTTCTCCATCTTATAACTCCCCTCTTTTGTTTATAACTGTTAAGTCCATGCATTCCCTAGGCTTCCTCAACTTATTAATCTCATTGCAAAACTTTTTCTTATTTTCAACAAAATTTGTTGATAAAACCTCACCAACTTTCTCATTTGCTCTTCTTTTACACTCCCCTCACCACTCACTTAACCTCTCTTTTACTTTCCATATACTCCACCCTCTTTACAGTGCTTCTGATTTATAAAAACCTCTCATATACTAGCTTATTCTCCCTTACCACTCTCTTTACCTTGTCAGTCCACTAATCACTCCTTTTTTTTCCTACATCCACAAATTCTGCTGGATTCTTTAATCTACCCCACACCCTGAGGAGGCTGGAGGCAGTAGGGATATCAAATCTGAGGGCAGTGTGTGGTGTGAATGTTATGCAGAAAATTTCCTAGTTAGGAGATTAGAAAGAGATGTGGGATTACTAAAAGTATTTATCCAGAGGGCTCAGGAGGGGTTATTGAGGTGGTTTGGATATTTAGAGAGATGGAGCAAAATAGGATGACTTGGTGGGTATATAAATCTTTAATGGAGGGAATTTAGTATAGGGGTCATCCTAGAAAAGGATGTGTGAGCATGTTAGATAGAAGTAAGTGGTTGTCATAACTCGACATGCTGTTGGAGTGTGAACAAGGTAACATTTATGAAGGAATTTAGGTCAGCTGGCTGGTTGCCCTGGAAGTGGGAAGTGGAAGTGGGAAGTTCTGGAAGCAGGAAGTACACTACCTGCACTCTGAAGGAGAGGTAGGAATATTGCACTTAGGAGGGGCATCTGAACTGTGATCTCTATGCTCCTCTGGCAAGACAGTGATGGAGTGATGGTGAAGGTGTCTCTTCATTTTTAAGTCACCCAAAATGTATTCTGTATTTTATAATTTACTATATAATAGTTTTCAAATTACAGTATTACTGTATTTAAAATCTCAGTCACTTGTTATTTTTAAGCTTCTTTTTGAGAAATTAGGCATTCCACTAAAATTATTGTTTCTTCTTTACAGGTAGAGGAATGGAAATCTAATGGGTCTCTCTGCTTGCTTAATACAATACAAAACTTGGTAATTAATGGAGGCTTGCTGGCTGGGTCCATGCTTGCAGCATGGATGGTCGCCTATAACAAAGGTTTAACAGTTGGTGATTATGTTCTCTTCTCAACATATATCATGCAGTTATATACTCCACTTAACTGGTTTGGCACATACTACCGTATGATTCAGCAGAACTTTATTGATATGGAAAATATGTTTGACCTTTTGAATGAGAAACAAGAAGTGATTGATAAGGTTAGTGCATTTTTTTATATTTAATTTTTTTCCTCTTACATTAATTTCAGTCAAAATAATACTTATGCCTTGGTAAAATACTTAATATGCAGAGCTGTCTGCTTTTCTGCCCCTATTTGTTGGCCTTTTTTTCTTCAGTGGGAAGGAGAGGGCATTTTGATGTTGGTGAAGAACTTTTGTTTGGGACTGTCCTCTTTTTTTCCTTATATCAAACCTGATTGCCTCTTATTCCCCAGCTGCTTTATAATGCTTATGGGTTTGGTGATCTCCCAAGAATATAAGAATAAGAATCATGATTGATTTTCCATGTTTTCACCATGCACCAAGATTGGTTTATGTTTTTTGTTAGCCACTCACACATTTCTTTAGTGATTCACTTGTCTTATACATTAATTTTTTATTCTTTACTTCCTCAGTATTACCACTTTCTATAGATAGTCGCTCATTGAGTTGCTGTGTGCATGAATGAAATGAATGCACACACACGACTCTTAAGTACTGTTCGTTTGGTAGCCTTAGAAATGCCTAGAAAAACTCTTGTCATTTAATGGTATTATTATAATTATTATAATCATGACTAAGTGCTAAACCCATAAGAATCATTTAATGGTAGACAATACAGTTTGTTGTATAAGCTTTTCTAGCAATCATTCATTACTTTGATACATTGTACTGTTTCTTTTATTTCATCTATTAATACCATACAGTATATCATCCATTTTGATAATTAGTTTTATCTTAACCCTTTGGCTGTCTTTGTTGTATAAATATGTCTTACAAGCCAGTGTTTTTGACATATGAATACGCCAAAATTCTAGTGGATTCAGATCAAGTGGGAGAAAGCTGGTAGGGCTGCATGTGAGAGAATGGGTCTGTGTGGTCAGTGTGTGAGGTATAAAAGAAATTCTGTAGCACACAGTGCATAATGAGAAAAAAACTGACACTGTTTTTGGATTAAAATGCCGACTTTGAGGTGTATTTTCATATGGTATTTATGGTTGTATTCTCGTTTTCTTGGTCTCATTTGATAGAATGGAAGGCATGTTACAGAAATAGAGATGATTTTGATTAGTTTCACGATGAAAAGGACCTTGAAATTGAGCTCAAAATAGTGGAAATGTTCGATTTTTTGCTGATGTTCAAGAGTAAACAAATGACGTCACCTTTCAATAAGTGTCCAACTAGCCATTCTAATACACTGTCATGAATGGGTTGACATTATTTATATAATTATTACAATAATGCAGTATGCATAACAGTAAATCTTCTATTTCTTGTGTGAATAAAAATTCAAAATAGAAAGCAAGAGTAATATAAGAGGGGCTTGGAGATATGACTAATAAACAGAGAAAATGTTATTTTAGTGCCAGGAATGTCTGCATTGTTTATTCTGGCCTCTATTTTGAAATTGGCATCTTTTTTTAATTTGTGTGAAATTGGCCAAATTGCCAATTTCTGACCTCTTTATTAAGTAGTTGAAATCGGTAAATGGGCAGTTTCTTGTACTTAATCAATAGAACAAATGGAGTTCTAAAGAAATAGCTATGAGTTTGGTTGACTCAAAGAATAGAATTGGCTGAAAATAGGGCTCAAATTGAGAGAACTCACCGATGCGTAAACATCGCCGAGATCACTAAATTTGTGAGAGCGTAATTCCATAAGTTTTCCATCAGATTTTGTGCTTTTGGTGCCATTACCATCAGGAAGAGATACTCTATCATTTCATGAGAAAAAATAATATTTTTTTTTTAAATTTTGCGACACAGAGAGACACTTTAGGATTTGGGGTCATGACAGTCAAAGGGTTAATTGTAAATGATTAAGATATATCAGTACAGTAGTAAGCAAGTTCAGATTACTTTAACATTAGATGTTGAAAGTTAAGTTTGTATTTACCTTATAATTCAGCATATCGTATTCCCAGCAAAGTTATTTTGATTTTGTATGTCACAAGGTTAGTAGTACTGACAAATGAAAAGAGATGACATGTGCAACATTTGGGGGACTTTTATATAAGGACTTTTCATTCATGAGAAATTTCTTCAGGCCATTGGACTGAGAAATTTCTGGTGAGGAAAAAGTCCCTTAAATATATGCATCACATGCATTGCACATGTGTCTTCTTCATGCATATATATATATACATGTATTTTGATTTTTTTATTATAGTCTGATATATGCTAATTTTGTTAAATATCAAACCAGCTAGTTTTATGAATAAATATATTTTTCATTCAGTCTTACTGAAAGCATCACAGTATGATACTACTGTGCTTTTTATCTATAGTATCTGCATCAACATTAGTTAATTTTCAGGTAATTTTAGAGAAATTTATATATTTTCTTACTTGAGCTGTCCTTTCCAGAAAGGTGCCCAGGAACTGTTGGTGCCTCGAGGCCGAATAGTATTTAAGAATGTATCATTCTCTTATACTCCTGAAAGGCCAATCTTAAACAATGTCTCCTTTATTGTAGAGCCTGGGAAGACTATAGCAGTGGTAAGTTATTACAGTTTTATATTAACACATTATCATAATTTGGAGTATGCAAAGAAGTATTTATTTTCTAATATAAAGTAGGGCCCCACTTATACGGCTGGTTAGGTTCCAGGTTACCGCCAGAAAGCAGACATCGCCGGAAAGCAGAACACTATTTTTTTCACATATAAATTCATACAAATACCAAATAACAAGTTTACACTAACATATATTAAGCTAACAGTAGAACTAGGCATTAAAAACAAAAAAATATAAAATACATAGCACATTCATTAATTACCTTTAAAAATTTGTAGTCTTAATGTAGGGTGAGAGGTGAACAGTATTTGTAGGAAGCTGTAGGTGTAGGTAGCTGGTAGGTGTAAGTAGCCCAAAGTGGTAAAATACACATACAGTACCCTCATTACTTACCTTAAAATATGTACACCTTCCATCTGACTTACAACCTGCTCGACATACGACCACTCGACTTACGACCATGTTTTTTATGCCAGATTTCTGGGAAATAAACAACTGTTTGTGTGGAAAATTTTCTAGGGGTGATTACCTGTATGTACCTCAACATTATATACATACAAGTAATCTCATTGGGAGACAACCATGTTGTTTACCATAGTCACCCCATGTAGACATGTGAGAAAACTTAACCACCCCTGGTCACGGCAGGTGGTCCCTTCGACCTCACAATCTTATCCATATCTATCCGAGACCAGTACGGATTGGATAGCACCCACAAGTACGGTGCTACTAATTAATTGTGGACTGTATAGATTATATTAGTGTAACTGAATGAAGGGGGGGGGGTAGGTTACACATGGATATATCCATCAAGGAAAAACACTTGTACATAATCTCTCCACTTACCAGATACTCTCTGGTGGTCACTTGATGTAGCTGGATCACTCATAACCTAACCTATCCAATTACAACATACCTAACTGGCCAGTATCAGTCTGCTATAACTAGAAGGGTTACTTAACTTTGGGTGATTGATACTCCTTATTTCCTCCATTCACCATCTCATTTCGATGTCCTGCTACACCGACACAGTTCTCATTCCAGCAGGACGAGGTATCCGTTGGTTTGTCCCGGTTTAGAAGTCGTGACTCAATGAACTTCATTTTCCTCGTCCCGGGAACAAGGTCTAACGTGTTCACTCAGAGCAAGGCGACTTATTTCACTTCACGCATTCTCTTAACTTAGCGTTATTATCATTAATTACATTACAATTCACAAGACGATTTAATGTCTCACAATTATTATACACATTAAAGATCATTCCATTAAGATCTGAGACTGATGAGTGATGATTAAACCAAGGGTAATTTTCCCCGGGACACAGTCCATGGTGACGCGCCAGTCACCCGGTCCTACCCTTATTCACTCATTTTACCACTTTATTACGGTGGTCCTGTAAATCACGTTCCCTCACTCTCCACCAGGAACAGTTACGACACTTCCTATTATGAAATGAGGCCTATATTAATCCTTAGGCCGCCGTGAACGCCAATTTCCTGGTTCCATGCTTTCCCATCCTCCTCACTCCATTCAAAACACTCCCACCTCCCCCATGCCCCGAGTCGACCTCTACCCCCGCACATCCGCACATGCGCAAAGGGAACTCTTGGTTCTCTCCTATTGTCAAGTACATTTTTGACTCATATTGACACATTAAACACCTATTAGGCACTATAGTTTCAGAAAATCAAAAAATTTTCCACACTGCAGCCGGGCGGAGGTCGTTGCTAGATGACTTACATAATGTGGAGTACAATTTTCCCATCTTCACTGGCCACCTGGCTTGGGAACTCCAACATTGGTATTTACATTATCACCCATTAATTCTTTGCACCTGTTAACTCCTCAGGTAGGGCTCCATCCAAAGCACACTCAAGCCTCCATACTTCTGGTATTAACAATTTCCCTCTTATTGTGAGGTGTGACACTAAGTCTATGCTCTCGGGGTTAATTTGTTGGGCATACTGGAATTATGAGACTTTAACAATAACAAGTCTCTCTCAGTATCCCAAGTCAGCCCCAGCACATTACTGCATATAGGCACTTCAACTCCATGGCCATCCATATTTATTGATCCCTCAAAATGGACTAATTACTGTTCCATTCTCTCAGGGGCATAAGCCTATGCTCCCTGGATTAATTTATTGGGCATACTGGAATTATGAGACTTTAACAATAACAAGTCTCTCTCAGTATCCCAAGTCAGTCCCAGCACCTTACTGCATTATTTCATTAACCCCTTCACATATCCTCATTAGTTCCTCTTCAGTTGACGTCACACCCGGAAATTGTCCACATAAGATTATTTACCCAATTACTGTACTTTGCTCAGTGGACCACCTGTGCACTTAAGGTGTGCATTTATCATCGCCTGAAGTAAGAACAATTTATTATTTAACTGTTTATTAATTATATCATTATAAGCAGTCAACAATTTTGGTGTCTTGCTCAGTTTGCAGAGCTGGGCCCTTTAACTGTCCATACGCCATCCTATAATTAGTAGGTAATTCTGGACGGTCGAGCTTCCACGGAAGTCGCACCCAGTAATGTCCAGATTCACATTTAACATCCTTCAGGTATTGTTCCTGAGTAAAGGAATCATTTGGACTTTCCTCATTTATATTAATCCCTATGCTGTCCAGCTCCCACAAATTAGACTGGTTCAACATCATTCTCGATAGAAGAATACTTGTACTGGGTTGACCTTTTATGGGCAAGACACCGTGACTGTATTCACTACTTCTAGTCATTATTACTAGGCAGTAGTCTGCCATATATTACATGGCCCGTACCAGTGTTGAGGAGAGTGACGCCGCATGCTTTTGGATTTATGCCCTTTATCCTGAATTATTACATCCAACGCCGGCAAGGCTACCTCAGCTAGGTCATCATTATTGCCATTAGCTGCAACCTTTACATCAGTCACTCTAGTGTCAGGGTTATTAACATTATCATTATTGTCACTTTGTCCTTGGAGGCAAAGAGGGGAATGTATGAGAGTATAGTTTTACCAACGCTCTTATATGGGTGTGAAGCATGGGTGATGAATGTTGCAGCGAGGAGAAGGCTGGAGGCAGTGGAGATGTCATGTCTGAGGGCAATGTGTGGTGTGAATATAATGCAGAGAATTCGTAGTTTGGAAGTTAGGAGGAGGTGCGGGATTACCAAAACTGTTGTCCAGAGGGCTGAGGAAGGGTTGTTGAGGTGGTTCGGACATGTAGAGAGAATGGGGCGAAACAGAATGACTTCAAGAGTGTATCAGTCTGTAGTGGAAGGAAGGCGGGGTAGGGGTCGGCCTAGGAAAGGTTGGAGAGAGGGGGTAAAGGAGGTTTTGTGCGCGAGGGGCTTGGACTTCCAGCAGGTATGCATGAGCGTGTTTGATAGGAGTGAATGGAGACAAATGGTTTTTAATACTTGACGTGCTGTTGGAGTGTGAGCAAAGTAACATTTATGAAGGGGTTCAGGGAAACCGGCAGGCTGGACTTGAGTCCTGGAGATGGGAAGTACAGTGCCTGCACTCTGAAGGAGGGGTGTTAATGTTGCAGTTTAAAAACTGTAGTGTAAAGCACCCTTCTGGCAAGACAGTGATGGAGTGAATGATGGTGAAAGTTTTTCTTTTTTGGGCCACCCTGCCTTGGTGGGAATCGGCCAGTGTGATAATAAATAAAAAATATTATAAGACTTACATACAACCCTGCACGTAACTGTATGGTGCCTTCCCTTGTTGCATTGATAGCAAATGTTCAATTTGGTATGACGATCCTTTACATTATGATTGTCTAGACATCTGATAAATCTGTCAAGTTCTTTCATCCTCTCCACTTTAATATCCCATGAATTATAGGCATTACAATTTTTAGTGAAATGAGTACCCTGGCAGAAGAGAAAGTCTCTTTTTTCCTTGTTTGGACCTCTTATAACTGGGTTACACTTACTGAGGTACTTATTCCTCTTACCTTGATGTGAGGAACCACTATTACTGATTCCTGACTTGATAGTGCCTTTTTAAACCTTTTAAACTATGATTATTACCACTGGATTATTTTTCCCTTTTGCGACTTGACAGATACTTCAGAGTCATTATGTGTTATATCCTTAGAACTTTTTGGCTGACTGGTCTGCAATTGAACAATTAATTCCTGCCGACCTAGTCTGATTTCCTCCAGAACCGTACTCTGGAGGTTTGCAAACCCACCCTTTGCATTAATGGTTGATCAACTGCCGGCTTACACCCTTTAATTTATTCAAAGCCTTATTTTTAAACAAGACATTTTTTTCTTCCAATCATAATGTTGATTAATTAAAACATTCATTTCCCTTCCACTGCACAATTCTCCACAGATCTCTTTCACAGTCTTTAAACCACAATTTGTACCAATCAAATCTACTCTCTAAAACATTAAATATAACTTTAATTCATTAGGGTTCACGGTTCTTTGATTCACTAAATCAATGCCTTCGTCACAGGCTTTTAATAGCCTATAATGATGCTTTCATTACTCTAAAATTCATGGACTTGTCAAGTCACATTAACTCCATTAGATCCAGTCATGGTTAGAGAATTATTAAGTACTGATTATACAACTTAAGTAAGCGCCTTAAAAGAGTAATTCTTGCACTTTACTCTTGTATAAATCCTAGCCACACATGTGCTAGCAATTAATTGGGCTAATTATCATCCACCACACGATCGATTTAAAATTGTTTTACCCTATACCCACTTCCTTCAATCAGTCACTTAATTATTAAGTAATTAATTCAAATAATTTTTTCACTGATTGCATCCGGTTCAGGAAGGACCAGTGGGCAGATGTGGAAAATTTTCTAGGGGTGATTACCTGTATGTACCTCAACGTTATATACATACAAGTAATCTCATTGGGAGACAACCATATTGTTTACCGTAGTCACCCCGTGTAGACATGTGAGAAAACTTAACCACCCCTGGTCACGGCAGGTGGTCCCTTCGACCTCACAATCTTATCCATATCTATCCGAGACCAGTATGGATTGGATAGCACCCCACAAGTACGGTGCT